AATCTTCAATTGTCCATCAAGTTCCAAAGACGACTTAAAAGAGGTACGGCCAGTTGCAAAAACCAGTCGGAGTTGCGAAGGTAAACTATCAACCTTTCTTCATAAAACGAAGGTAAGTGAGTGCTTCATCGTTGTCACAATGCTAGTTATGTCAAGCAATGTTCTTCAAGGATTTTTTTTAACAAGCTAAGGAAAAGCGATCTCAAATATCCTTTTGCGTGGCTGCCAAATTTTCTTTATTTTTCAGCAGCCATAATTCGCAAGAGAATATCAACTGTCGCTGATCTCGATAAAAAGATCGAACAGGTGTGTTTTCGCAGTTTATATGAGTGTTGAGAACAAAAGGGAAATTAGGTGAATATGGAATAGTAAATTTCGAGCATAAACGCTCGCTGGTTATTGTGCTATAAGTAATTAAGAGCTCTAAGGTACCTAGAGTCCCAGTAGAAGTTGCTCAAAGTCTTGAATCTCGTAAGGACAATTTTCTTAGGCATAAAATTGGAACAAATGGAGGATCAGTAAATTTGCTATCGAAAAGTTGGCGGAAATTCAGCGTCGGCTACCGGTTTAGTTTTAAATCTGTTAACAGGCAATTTTTCAACGCTTGTTTCAGTTGAGGTGTTAAAGTCAATTTTAGACTAGCTTTTTGTTAAACTATGATGAGTGCAACCGCACGTTGCTTAAGGATGAAAATGTAGAAATAAAACAAACTCGTTCCCTTTCCAATCACTTGTGGGACTCCTAGTTACGGGCTCATCTAGTTCTAAACCAAAGTTTTTTTTTCCACGGGCTTAGAACCGTATTCTGCTTTATACCCCTTAAAGGACATTTGGTAACTTACCCCTACTCCTCCCTCCATATATTTGATTTCTTCCCTTAACCCCTCCCCCCATATGCATAATCTCTCTCACCTCTTACACTTCCTTCCTTCTCCAGAACAGTTAGAGAGCATGAACATTATATGCAATTTTCTACTCATATGCCGCAAAGAGTGGAAAGCATGCATTCCATAAGCCTTTTGATAAAGGCTTAATTTTACTTTTTTATTTGTTTAACAGCACCATGTTGATGATAACCTTATTTATGGTGGCGTTCTTGGCTCATGTCACGCAAGGTGTAACCAGGTACAATACTGGCAAGGGCACCGTTTACAAGCTATCAGTGGTACAAGATGTCACGCTTGAAAGTCCAAACAGAAACTTCAACTATTTGCCGTTCCTTCTCGTTTCTCAGCATCCTGGTTATCCCAATAAACGATCGCTTGTAAAGTTTGAACAGCTACCGAGGTACTGCCCAGCTTACAAGATCGTATCTGCGAAGATGTACCTGTACTATGTCTACGCAC